TTAGTTTGATCGAAATCTTTGAATGATTTCAAATTAGTGATGACAAAATAGGACAGATCAACATCAACTTGGTGGTATAGCCCCCTCCCTAGCTCATCCACAGGCTTTGCCACCTTCACTTATTCAATTCTATCAAATAACACAGAATGAAGTTGACCTTTAAAATTGAAGTAAAAGTTTAGCTGTACAATTATGGTCAATTTTGCATAAAAGCTTTGTCACATGGTTCTCTTCGTGAATACTTTACTGTGTCCCCTAATCTAATCTGTACTTTTTGTTTCCCAGTGTGTTGATGACTATATTGATGTTGCTTTTTTTCCCCTAAAATTAAATGTTTATTCAAATTTGCACCTCCTTTGCTTTCAGGTTATTCATCTTCAGCTCTTTCCTTCCTCAACTTTTCTATTTCTGGGAATAAATTGTCAACCAATTTCTATTAAAAGTCTTAGACCCAACTTGTTCATACAGGAAGTTGATGGGAGGGAGTAAGAGCTATGCTAATCTGCCTGTTTATCCATCCCACACAAGTATCTCCACTATGTTTTCCTTCTTGTCAACCAAACATTCTCTAAACGACCATCCCATTTCCGGCACTTCTGTCCTCCTTCCTCCCTAAGCCTTGCGTTCCCACTTCCATTCCTTCCCACACAACAGTAAGAAAGACACAATAAGTGTCCCATTGTCTTCCACGTGCATCCCACTAGAATATTCAACAGATAATCTTCACATTCTCCCCTCTCCTGGTACTTTCCCAGTCAAGTGGAGGAGAAAACCCTTGTCCCTCCACCAACTCCCTAGTTATAAGCCAAGTCCCAAGCTGTTCATCCTTGTGATAGACCAATTGTATCGACCATAGGCTGATGCAGTGTTTCAGTGAAGTACTGCGATAATGACTAATCTCTTGAATGTATAACAATGCAAGGCTATTTAAATTTGCCACTTGGGTTTAAACATACTGTGGTGATTTTGATTTGCTCTTCCTGATGTCAAGAAACATCTCAACAGACTAGATGCAGCAAAGGCAATGGGACCTAATAATTTCTTGTCTTAGTCCTTAAGATTTGTGCTCCAGAACTAGCTAATTTCTAGTCAAGCTGATTTAACATGGCTACATTAGCATTTGCCACAAAAAGGTCAGCTTCAGCTTCTGTCTGGTCAGTCAGCGTCCTATAAGTCTGCTTTCATTGTCACTGCTAGAAAACAGTGCCTGCAAATAGCCTGTTCACTGATACTCAGTTTGGTTTCTACCAGAGCTACTTGATTCCAGATTTCATTGCAGCCTTCGTTCAGCCATATGCTTGAATACTGAGGTGAGATTGGTTTCTCAACAAAAGGGCAACATTTCACTGATTAGTATCAAAATTCCAAGCGAAATTAATGGGACTTGATCCTTTGCTTGGTGTTACGATCCCAGAATAAAACCTAGCTTGATAGATCGTGTTCAAATTTTGCAGTTGATTACTGTGGTGGTTAATTGCTGAATCATATGCACGTAGGCTGCAAACAGTCTTTAACAAAGAACATTTAAGTCAATTGCATGGAAGAATAAAGTGCTCTGACCTTTTTAAGGTATCATAACAGAACTAACCAAAATTTATCTGTCTCCCTTTTAAATCTGAGTCCCAAATTGTTTGTTTTAATTCAGTTGTGGAACATAAACGTTTCTGGCAGGCCAGCATTTGTTGTTTGTATGTAGTTGCCCTTGAGGTGATGGTGAGCTGCCGCTTTGAACTGCTGCAGTCCACCTGCAATGGGTTGACCCAAAGTACCACTAGGGAGGGAATTCCAGGCTTTTGACTCAGCAAAAGTCGGGAAAAAGTCAGTATGGTGAGTGGCTTGGAGGAGAACTTGCAGGTCATGGTGTTCCCATGTATCTGCTGCCCTCGTCCTTTCAGATGGACGTGCATGTGGGTTTGAAAAGTGATGTCTAAGGATTTAGGTGAATTTCTGCAATACATGTTGCTGCTACTGAGCATTACTGGTGGATGGAATGGATGCTTATGGATGTGGTGCCAGTCATCCGGGCGAATGGGAAGTATTCCATCATGCTCCTGACTTGTGCCTTGGACAAGCTTTAGGGAATCGGGAGGTGAGTAACTTGCTGCAGTATTCCTAGCCTCTGACCCGCTCTTGTAGGCAGTATTCATGTGGTAAGTCCAGTTCAGTTTCTGGTCACTGGTAGTCCATGGGATGTGGATAGTGGGATTCATTGATGGTAACATCCTTAAATGTCAAAGGACAGTGGTTACATATTCCATCTTATTGGAGATGGTTACTGTCTGGCATGTGTGTGGCGTAAATTTTACTTGGCCACTTTTCAGCCCAAGCCTAGAGATTGTCATGTTGCATTTGAACATGGACTTCTTCAGTATCTGAGGAGTCATGAACATTGTGTACTCAACAATGAACATCCACACTTCTGACCTAATAATGGAGGGAAGGTCATTGAAGCAACCAACAAAGGTTGGACCTAGGACACTACCCTGAGGAACTCCTGTTGAGATGACTCAGCTCCAGCATACACCACTATCTTCCTATGTGACAGGTATGACTTCAACCAATGAGAGTTTGCCCCTGATTACCATTGATACCAGTTTTTCTAGGGTTCCTTGATGCCACACTTGCTGAAATGTGGGCTTGATGTCAAGAACTGTTGGCTCTGACTTCTGGAATTTGGCTGTTTTGACCATGTTTGAACTAAGGCTGTAATGAGGTCAGGAACTGTGTGGCCCTGTTGGAACCCAAGCTGGGCGTTGCTGAGCAGGTGCTGCTTGATAGCACTGTTGATGACACCTTCCATCACTTTACTGATGATCAAGAGTAGACTGATAGGGTGGTAATTGGTTGGGTTGGATTTGTCCTGCATTTTCGTGTACAGGACACATCTGGGCAATTTTCCACATTGTTGTGTAGATGTCATTGTTGTAGCTGTACTGGAACAACTTGGCTAAAGGTAAAGCAAGTTCTGGAGCATAAATCTTCAGTACTGTTGTTGAATGTTGCAGTATCCTATGCCTGCAACTATTTCCTGATATTACGTGGAGTGAATCGAATTGGCTAAATTTTGGCATCTGTGATGATGGGGACCAGTAGACAATGCTGAGTTGGATCATCCTGTTTAGTAGCTTCACCAGGTTGGTACCAAATTTTTAGGTATGCCTCTTGCAGCCACTGGCGTGCCCTGCTGCACTCTGCATTGGAACAGGGTTGATCTCCTGGCTTGAAGGTTATGGTAGAGCCGGGGATATACTGGGCTCCGAGTTGCAGATTGCATTGGAATATCATTCTGCTACTTTTAACTTCTCACAACACCCAGTCTTGAGTTGCTGGATTTGTTTGTAGTCTCTTCCCAACTAGCATGACAGATGCATGTGTTAGCAGGCAGACTGGTGAGGACGAGGTTGAGTATGTTTTACACTTCCACTGGTTCCTTCACTACCTGCTGCAAACCTAGTCAAACCTTAGGACCTGACCAGCTATTGCTGCTGCCAAGCCACTCTTGGTTGTGAACATTTGAAATCCCTTACCTAGCGTATATTCTGCACCCTTGCCACACTCGGTGCTTCCTCCAAATGTTATTCAACATGGAGGAGCAGTGATTCATCAGCTGAGGTAGGACAGTCTGTGGTAATCAGCAGGAGGTTTCCATGCCTATGTTTAATCTGATTCCATGAGACTTCATTGCTTCCAGAAGCAATGTTGAAGACACCCCAAGGCAGTTCCTTCCCAACTGTACTGGTAGATCTGTCCTACCAGGAGGACAAAATGGTGATGGTGGTGTCTGAGACATTCTGTAAGGTATGATTCCATGAGAGTGACTATTTCAGACTATTAACGAAAACTGAAATGTTGGTGAAACACAGTAGGTCTGGCAGCATATGTGACAAGAAAACAGTTCACATTTTCTCCAGCAATTTCTGTTTGTTTTAGATCGCCAGCATCTGCAGTTCTTTGTTTTTATAATGTCAGGCTGTTGCTTTGCTTTACTAGTTTGAGACAGCTCTCCCAATTTTGGCACAGGTCCCCCAGATGTTAAGGAGGGTGTTGCAGGGTTGACAGGGCTACTTTGCACCTGGGCCGTGACAGAGGCAGTTAAGAGTCAACCACATTGCTTTGGTTCTGGAGTTGACCAGACCAAGTGAGGATGACCGGTTTCCTTTCCCTGAGGGACATTATTAACCAGAAGGCTTTTTCTTTGTGTCAGCAGTGATTTCAGTTATCATTAGGTTCTTAATTCCAGATATTTATTGAATTCAAATGCCACCATCTGCCATGGCAGGATTTGAACCCAGATCCCCAGGACATTGAATGTAGCATAAACTAACCTTCTATCATACTAGAGATTTACTGAATGGTAAGGAAGATAATTGTGATTATTGGAGAACAGCCATCCCAATCCCAAGATTTTCTTGGAGTAGCCAGTGTAATAAGCTGATTGGATATGCTGTGAAACACCTTCGGGGCAGGTGGGACATGAAACTGGAACTTCTGGTCCTGAGATAGGTACAAAACCTGTGCAAAACAAGAACCCAGTTCTTTGCAGTAATATCTTACTGATGATTCCACAGTTTTAAATTCCATCTGCAAGTCCCTCAATACCGAGGCAATCAGTGACTGCAATGGAACATTCAAATTTCGACTGATAAGTAGCAAGTAATGTTTGCACCACATACGTAATGACCTCTCCAACCAGAGAAAATCCAGCCAACCATTCCTTTGACAGTCAGTCACATTTCCATTGCTGAATCCTGCACCATCAATATATAGGGGGTTCCTGTTGGGCAAATATCCCTAATGAGTGTCAGGTCCTTCTCTTTTGAAACATGCAGCATTCCTTCAGCAATCTTTGGTTTTAGAATGGTTCTTTTCTCATTTCAAAATGCAATTCAATTAAAAGTAGTGAAAAATAAGACAGTCTTTAAAGGAAACATTGAGAAAGCACATTTATGAAGTCCGTATGTGTACTTGTGTTGAATATATTTTCCTCTTTACTTGTGCAGATGCAGCAGTTGTTTTATGAAAATTATGAACAAAATAAAAAAGGCTATATCCAAGATCTACATAACAGCAAAATCCAGCGGGCAATCACTCTACACCCCAACAAGAGTCCTGAATATCAGTACCGGCTACATAGCTACATGTTGAGCCGCAAGATTATGGAGCTTCGTTATCGCACGATCCAGCTTCATCGGGAGATTGTGCTGATGGGCCGATATAGCAACTCCAAACTTCACAAAGATGACCTTCAGTTGGGAATCCCCCCTTCATTCATGCGGTTCCAGCCTCAACACAGGGAAGAGGTATTGGAGTGGGAGTTCCTGACGGGGAAATATCTTTATTCAGCTTTTGATGGGCAGCCCCCAAGGAGAGGGATGGATTCAGCTCAGAAAGAAGCTTTAGATGACATTATCATGCAGGTGATGGAGATGATCAATGCAAATGCCAAGAGCAGAGGTCGAATCATTGACTTCAAAGAAATTCAGTATGGTTATCGAAGGGTTAACCCTATGTATGGAGCAGAATATGTACTTGACCTACTACTTCTCTATAAAAAACACAAGGGCAAAAAGATGACTGTCCCCGTGAGGAGACATGCTTACTTGCAGCAAACTTTCAGCAAAATCCAGTTTGCCGAACGTGAAGAAATTGATGCAAGAGATCTGGCCAATACAATTAACAGTAACTCACGATCTCTCTCCTTCTTCTCAAACCCCCTCAAAATATTTGCCCCTTTCCAACTGGGAACCACTAAAGTTGGGACCAAGGAACCCAAAGACAAGAAAGTCAACATTTTGGTCCCGCTGTCTGGGCGGTTTGAAATGTTCGCCAGATTCATGGAAAACTTCGAAAGAACTTGTCTGGTTTCAAATCAAAATGTCAAACTAGTTATTTTGTTATTCAATTCTGATTCAAATCCAGATAAAACTAAACAAGTAGAACTGTTGAGAGATTATCAGGTAAAATACCCCAAAGCAGAGGTCCAGCTTTTCCCTGTGGCCAGTGAGTTTTCCAGGGCTCTTGCTCTGCAGCTTGGAGCTGCTCAATTTAGCAATGATTCCCTACTCTTGTTTTGTGATGTTGACTTGATTTTTACAGTAGATTTTCTGCAGCGTTGCAGGGATAATGCTTTGCCGGGGAAAGGGGCATACTTTCCAATTATCTTTACCCAATATGACCCAAAGATTGTACATGCAGGGAAAGTTCCCAATGACAATTATGCCTTCACAATACAGAGCGGATTCTGGAGAAACTATGGATTTGGGATCACTTGTGTTTACAAAAGTGATCTTTTGCTGGCTGGTGGCTTTGACGTCTCAATCCAGGGCTGGGGTATGGAAGATGTGGATCTCTTCAACAAATTCATTGAAGTTGGTTTAAAGCCATTTAGGAGTCAAGAAATTGGAATTGTTCATGTCTACCACCCAATTTATTGTGACCCAAATCTGAAAGCAAAACAATACAAGATGTGCATGGCTTCCAAAGCCTCAACTTATGGCTCCACACAGCAACTGGCAGAGCTCTGGCTGGAAAAACACAGACTCAATCTCAGCAATAGCAATCATGACGATATAAAGAGGACTTCCTAACATCCAGCTTGGCTGGAGAACTTTTTTCTAATTTATTTTTTAATGTTTTTATTGTTTTGATTTAAGCAATATGAGTTATTGTAAATAAAGAATAGAGGCGAAAGGACATTTCACTTTGAATTAAAAAAACTGTGAATGTTTGCACCAGCAATTCTGGCTGTTTACTGCTCCAGGTGCAGGCCTGGAATGAAGCAAACTGGTAATTGCACACAACTCACTGGCAGTTCCCTTGGTAGAAGAGCAGGAGACCAGCCATGGTCACCAACTTCCGAGAATAGTCTGCCCAGATCCTTGAGACGTTAAGTCTAACTTTTTTTATAATGTGAATAATTTTGGGTTGCTGTTTAAAGTTATGAAGCAACTGTGCCCATTTATAGCAGCTGAACCATTACACACTGACAATGTTGTGACTCCATAACTTTATTGTGTTTGTTTATGAATTTATGTGTCACGACATTGCTCATTTCAATTATTGACTTCATTCCTTTTTCCTCGATGAACTGAGTTTAGTCTGTATCCCAATACCAGCAGCTAAGTGCTGACTTCAGTGAGTGTTAAGTATGTTTGGAAGTGTTTGTGGCATTTTGTTTGTAGAGGTCATATTTTCCATAGATTTAATTTCCTCAGTGGTGTGTGATTCAACATGTTGAATCGACTACGCAAGATTGCCAGGGTGTCTCAGACCCTCTGTATTTGTAGCATTTTCTACACGTCTACATCGGTTGAGGAATACCTTTTGAAATTTGTCTTCCATCTTCCTCCACGTGCCCTACATTCAAAATAAACTATTTTCCTGCAGTCAAATAATATGATATCGTTCAAGCCATGACTCTGGTATAAAAGGTTCCTTTTATAGACTTGATGTAATGTGTTCATATTTTTGTAATTCAGATTGGACCAGACAGAATGAAACACAGCACTTCTGTCTTTGTAAGTGAACATTCCTTCAGACTGAAATTCTCCAGTTCTGGATGAACTCCAGCGTGAGAAGGGAGTTTCACCGCCTGTCCAGATACTACAGGATTGTTTTCTGCTTTGGGCCTGACTAAAGTATTGGTTTGTGCACTGTGTGGGGAGAACATATTATCATCCAGAGACAACAAGGTGCAGAGCTGGATGAACACAGCAGGCCGAGCAGCATCATAGGAGCAGAAAGGCTGACGTTTCGGGCTTAGACCCTTCATCAGAAATTTCTGATGAAGGCTCTAGGCC